CACCCTAAAATACATACCAGGGGGAAAGAATTTCTTAGCTGATGCCCTATCCAGATTGCCTCAATATAAGAGTCAACATGAGCAAGTCATTGACTCTATTATGCCAGCATCCCAGATTGTCATCCAGATAACACCACAGAAAACCCCACCCACAAAAGCTCCTAAACCTGATGATCCTGTAACGAAGAAGTTAAAACTGATCAATGATCAATGTTTTAAGGACAATCAAAGCATCTTGACCTATAGAGATGGGCTGGTGTACAAGGGGGGAAATTATATCTGCCCAAAACTCTCAGGCTCCAAGTGCTCCAACGCAGCCATGATGTAAAACAAGCTGGATACTTTGGTTATTTAAAAACGCTACATTTAATTCGACGACAATTTTGGTGGCCGGGTTTGAAGAAAAACATGGAAAACTATGTCAAAAGCTGCGCAGTGTATGCCACCATGAGAAGAATTCCAGGAAGCCCCCTGGGATATTGCAGCCAGTGGAAGAGATTGCTATGGATTTTATTGTTGAACTACCTGAAAGCAGAGGAAACACAGTGATATGGACTATGATTGATCTTTGCCTGCTCTGGTCTCCCATCTTAGCTCTGGCTAAGATGTTCCTTAAACATATTTACAGACTACATGGTGCGCCAAAGCGAGTACTTTCTGACAGAGGGGTTCAATTTATGGCTAAATTTTGGAGACATTTTCTGAAAATAATTGGCTCATCACAGGGGCTGTCATCGTCTTTTCATCCATCTATGAATGGGGTGGCTGAAAAAGCAAAAGCAATGGTGGAGCAATACCTTAGATGCTATGTGGATTACCAGCAAACAAACTGGGCTGACCTCCTCCCTTTCGCTGAAGTAGCTTACAACAACACTGTCCATAGCAGCACTGGTTTTATGCCTTTTAAGATTGCTACTGGGAAGGAATTCAACCCAATACCTGACTATCCCCAAGACCCCTACCTCCCAGACTCTAGATCAGTGGTTCTCAACCTTTTTAATGCCGTGACCCCTCAACAGGTTGTAAGTCGAGGACTACTCAATGGTCGTAAGTCGAGACTACTCAACTGGTGCAGCACCGTTTGCAGAATGGGACTTTTGGCGGGCTCAGCAGGGCAGAGACAGCCTGGACAATTCCTATTGGCTTTTGAAAGCCAATAGAATTAGACTCTATTCAAGAGAGTCTATTCTATTGGCTTTCAAAAGCCAATAGAATAAAAGGGAGTAGCACAGCTAAGAAAAAGGGGAAAAATGGCGGACTGCATTGTTTGGCGACCCCCGTGAAATGGTCGTTCGACCCCAAATGGGGTCCCAACCCACAGGTTGAAAACCACTGCTCTAGACCAATGGATGTCAGCTTGGAGGGAGGTGTGGGACAATACTAAAAAAGCACAGAAAAAAGCCTTGGAAACATATAAAAAGCAAGCCGATAAAAAAGAGCTCCCCAAAGATTGTTCCATGTTCCATCCACAAAATATCTGAGACTCATATTACCCAGTAAAAAATTGGGACCTAGGTCCTTTCCCAATTGTAAAAATCCTGAACTCAGTTACTGGGGTGTTGAAGTTCCCGCGACTTTTAGGAAAAATCCACCCTGTATTTCATTGCAGTTTATTTGTCAACGCTGCTAACATCGGATGCTCTTGCTTTGACAACATATAGAGATGCAGCCATTTTCCTTCTTATGTTTTACTCTTAGAATTAGAGTTAGAATTAGATGATACTGGGGGGGAGGAGGAGGAATGTGCATGGGAGTTTAGTTACACATAACAATATTGTAACTAGTGTGAGAACCAAGGTTTTTTTTTAAATAAGAGATGATAAGAAATGGTGAATTGAAGAACTGGAGGGAAAGCCTGCATTTCAAACTAATTGGAGAATGTGATTTATGACTGTTAATTAAAGAAGGGTATTGTGCTTTGATACTATGTCCTCAGGGGAGGGGAATCAGATTTTGGCTTTGCCTATATACGAAGAGATGGGTCTCTTCGTCTCTGCATTGATTATAAATCTTTGAACATGGTGAGTGTGGGAAATAAATATCCCCTCACCCTCCTAAAGGACTTACTAACCCACCTGGCTAAGGGGAATGTCTTCACTAAGTTAGACCTGAGAGAAGCATATTACCGGGTGAGGATAAATGAGGGAGATGAGTGGAAGACTGCCTTCAACTGCCCCATGGGAAGCTATCAGTTCAAAGTCATGCCATTTGGGCTACAGGGGCCCCCTGCCGTATTCATGCAGCTGATTAATGAGGTCCTACATGATCATTTATACAAAGGGGTTCTGGTGTATCTTGATGACATCCTGATATACAGCACAAATATGACTGATCATATAAAGCTGGTGAGAGAAGTGTTAAAGAAACTATTGAATGCCAAGCTTTATGTCAAACTGTCAAAATGTGAATTTCACCAGATCCGATTAGATTATCTTGGTTATAGAATTTCCAACGAGGGCATTGAAATGGACCCAGCCAAAGTGAAAGCTGTAATTGAATGGCAGCCTCCAAAGATTTGCAAACAGCTCCAGAGCTTCCTAGGTTTTGCCAACTTCTACTGTCAATTCATCCCCTCCTTTGCTGAGGTTGCCCTACCCCTTACAGAATTACTCGAAAGAGGCAAAGGAGGAGGGAAGCCGTGACCAGGCCAATCACTAGCATGGACTATGAGTTGTCAGACTGTTTGAGAATTTAAAAAGACTATTTGTTGCTGAACCAGTCCTAAAGCACTCCTGCCCAGGGGAGCCCTTTGTAATTCAAGCCGATGTCAGCAACGTGGCCATCGGAGCTGTATTACTGAAAAAGAACCAAAGTGGGACCCTGCAACCCTGCGCCTACACCTCGAAAAAAATACTGAGAGTGAAAGGAGATGGGCAATCTGGGAAAAGGAGATTTTCGCAATCAGATGGGCTCTAATAAACTGGAGACACTATCTAGAAGGTAGCAAAGTGCCTTTTGAAGTATGGACAGATCACAAAAATCTAGCAGCACTGAAAACTCCCCGCAAATTGTCCCCGAAACAGTTGTGTTGGGCACAGTACTTTAACTGTTTTAACTTCACTCTAAAGTACATTCCGGGAGGGAAAAACCTCCTAGCTGATGCTCTACCCAGACTACCGCAGTACAAAAAACAGCGTGAAGAGGTTAATGAGGCAATTATCTCAATCCACAAACTGCTGCTCAATTCACGCGTCGCAGGACCCCTAATCCTGATGACCCTGGGGCAAAGAAAATAAAAGAAGAGCTCATCACCGATCAATGGTTCAAGGATAATCAAACCTCCCTAACATGCAGGGATGGTTTGGCTTACAAAGGGGGGAAATTGTACTTGCCAGAAGCCCTCCATCTTAATGCTCTCAAACACAGCCATGATGTAAATCAGGCTGGACACTTTGGATATTTAAAAACTCTACATCTCATCCACTGGTAGTTCTGGTGGCCGGGGTTAAAACGGGATTGGAAAATTATGTCAGGAGTTGTACTGTATGTGCCACCATGAAAAGAATTCCAGTGAAACCCCCTGGGTTACTGCAGCCAGTGGCAGATCCTTCTCAGTCATGGGAAGAAATTGCTATGGACTTTATAGTAGACCTACCTGAAAGTAGAGGAAATACAGTCATCTAGACTGTGATAGACCTGTTTTCAAAGCAGGCTCACTTCATCACCTACAAAGGACTCCCATCTGCCCAACAACTGACTAAATGTTCTTGAAACATATCTACCAGCTGCATGGCGCCCCTAAATGAATAATTTCAGACAGGGCGGTGCAGTTCACAGCTAGGTTTTGGAGGAGCTTTCTTAAATTAATTGGATCATCTCAAGGTCTATCATCTGCTTTTTACCCATCTACTAATGGGGCTGCAGAATCTGCTAACAAGATGGTGGAACAATATCTCAGATGTTATATTTCCTACCAACAAACCAACTGGATCAATCTCATCCCTTTTGCAAAGGTGGCTTACAATAATTCTGTTCACAGCAGTACCAGCTTCACGCCTTTCAGAGTAGCCACAGGAAAAGAGTTCAGCCCAATACCTGAATACTCTCCAGTGTCCTCTGCTTCTCAGACACTTGATCAATGGGTGAGGGGGTGGGAAAAAGTTTGGAGAGCCATGAAAACTGCTTTAAAAAAAGATTTCTGAGACCTATAAAAAGCAGGCAGATAAAAAGAGGGCTCCTCAAAGAGCATTCCAAGTTGGGGAAAACGTTTATCTGTCGACTAATATTTACACCTCAAATTACCCAGCAAGAAATTAGGACCGAAATTCTTGGGGCCTTTCCCCATCGTAAAGATTATTAACCCAGTCACAGTAGAATTAAAACTCCCTAGGCTTTTAGGGAGAGTTCACCTGTCTTCCACTGCAGCTTGTTGAAACCTTTTCGGGGCTCCACTTTAAGACCTCACCCTAAGAAGGCATCCGGACCCCTTGTGGTAGCAGGTCAGACTCACTATGAAGTAAAGCATATTCTTGATTCTAGAATTTTTAAAGGGAAATTGCAGTACCTAGTACAATGGAAGGGATACTCGCTGTCTAAAGCCACTTGGGTGAAAGCTAGTGATGTGAAAGTCAACAGAGGTTCTATAGGAAACACCCTAACAAACCGAGAGACAGTCCCTAACATATGCTTTTGTTTATGTTACAGGATCTGTCCCTTTTGTAAGGGGAGCCAAATGTCAACGCTGCTAACATCAGATGTTCTTGCTTTGACAACATATGTAGATGCAGCCATTTTCCTTCTTATGTTTTACTCTTAGAATTAGAGTTAGAATTAGATGATACTGGGTGGGAGGAGGAATGTGCATGGGAGTTTAGTTAGACATAACAATATTGTAACTAGCGTGAGAACCAAGGTTTTTTGAAATAAGAGATGATAAGAAATGGCGAGTTGAAGAACTGCAGGGAAAGCCTGCATTTCAAACTAATTGGAGAATGTGATTTATGACTGTTAATTAGAGAAGGGTATTGTGCTTTGATACTATGTGCTGAGGGGAGGGGAATTCAGATTTTGGCTTTGCCTATGTATGTGCCAATGCTATGCTACTCAAATAAAGATTCTTTAAGGTAAACAATGCCTCAAAGTTCTTTGAAGAGTTTCATCTGTCGGAACCATGACATTATTAAAACCTTTCCGTGAATCAGCTTTGTGACCTCCTCCCAAGAAAGCTCCTGGTACTCTGTTAGTGGCTGGGGAAACACATTACAAAGTGAAACGTATTCTTGATTCTAGGTTATACCAAGGGACGTTACAGTATTTAGTACAGTGGAAAGGCTACCCACTGTCAGATGCAACTTGGGTAAAATCTACTGATGTTAAAGCTAACAGACTTATTCATAAATTTTACAGCAAACATCCTAATAAGCCTAGGAGCAACCCTTAACATATGCTTCTGTTTAAATCGCAGGACTACTCCTTTCTATTAAGGGGGGCCAGATGTCAATGCTGTGACAATGGATGTCAATGCTCTGACAACTGAGAATAGCAGCCATTTTACCTTTGCTTTAGAATGCCTTATTTACTGTTTTGAAGTTAAGATGTAGAAGGGGGGGATGGAGTAAATGCTTGAGGGTTTAGTTCACCATAACAACTGCAGCTGTGTGGGAACTCAAGGTCATTACTTGATAAAGTTTTGGCGGGCTGAGAAGCTGGGAAGGAAAGCCCACATTTTGTGTTAATTGGAGAATGTGATTTCTGACAGCTCCTTTGGGGTGGGAATTGCAACTTGTTACTTTGTATCTGGAGGGAGGGAATTTCAGTTTTGGGTTCAACTATGTAAGTGCCAATACTTTGTTTCCTAATAAAATGTTCTTTAAGGAAGAAATCTTGCCTTGAAGTTCTTTTACTGGTTTCATCTATCGGAACCATGACAGAAGCCTTTTTTGCTCCAGAGACATTTTACAACAAAACATAAAGAGCACACCAAAAAGTTTCTTTTGTGAAGAAGAAAGACAAATTTATAAAATGCCATGCTTTTTCATGAAGTTCACAACCATCTCGAAAAGGTGTCTGGAAGCATCTTATGAATTGTCCTTGATAGCAACAAAACGAAATAAGCCTCACACAATCGTTGAAAAATCGTGGTTCCCTCTGCCATTGCAATTGCTTTAATTCTCTTTGATGAAAAAATGGCTGATATTATTCATAATATTCCATGTTCTGATAACACCATCCAAAGACAAATACAAGATATGGCCACAGATGTTATTCAACAAGTAGTGGAAAAGATCACAGCAGGAGAAAAATTTGCATTTCAATTGGACGAAAACACTGACATTGCTGGTGAAGCACAATTAATTTTCTTTGAGTGTGTTCCTGATTCAGATGATATACTGGAACACATATTATTTTGCTGCCCACTACCTGGCAGAACCACTGGGGAAGAAATATTCACAATAATCAACAATTTTTTCAGTGAACATGGAATATTATGGACTCACTGTGTAGCAATTTGTTCCAATGGTGCAGCAGCAATTTACAGTTCAATATCATATTCAATGAATAAAAACCTCTATACTTGCATTAAGCTATGACTTAGCCTGATGTGTCTATCAGTTAGTGTTTGATTTATAGGGAAAGGAACTCTGATAGATCCTGTTGAGTAATAGTTTGAGTTTTCTTTTTGAAACTAAAAAGGAAACTTGCAATATCTGAAACATCAGAAACAATAGAAATAGAACAACAGAAAAGTTTCTTCCTCTCTGAAGTTAAATGTGACCCATTCATATGTAAAGGACATTCATGTCCTTTAAAACAGAGGTCCCCAACCTTTTGGGCACCAGGGACCGGTTCCATGGAGAGAAGTTTTTCCACAGACCAGAGGGTGTGTGGTTTTGTGTGCTGCCTGTATCCCATGGATGAGGCTTTGCTTGTTTGTGCGGACTGGTTGCTGGGCCAGGGGTTGGGGACCCCTGCTTTAAACCAGTAAATTATCTTCCACCCAGAGCAGTAAATTGCTCAGGTCTCCTCAAGTTTTGCCTTGCCTCTGGGGTCTGTTTACTCTCTCTCCTGTAGCACAAGAAAAAGCCAATAGGATATTATTCGCGTTTCTTAATATTATTCCTGATTAAAACAAAAACAATTGTCATATATATCCAGACCAAACATATGTTGCCTGAAATCAGAAGAATCTAATTAGAAGTGTCTAACCATGCAGAGGAGCCACAATTCTGGATAGTTACCACAGTTGAATAACTGAGATGCTTCTAGGTCAGATTTTGTACTGTGCCTCATCCACAGAATTTTACAGAAAAAAAAGGTGAGCATTATAACACCTTCTCCCTGTAATTCTCCTGTGGGTCATTCCATGTCAAGTGGTCTGGGGGTCCCTGCTCAAACATCGTGGATTTTGACGAAATTTTGTATGAACATGCACATATGTCCCCAATGAACATTGGTAAAGTGTTACGTTTGCTGATGCAATACTTGCGGAGATATAGTCATTTGTTTGACCCCATACCGCAGCCTTCTACAGTATGACTCTGAGATTCCAGCAACTTTGAGACATAATATCTCCGGCAATATTTTGCTTGAGAGAAACAAAACTTGGCCATCTCGTACAACTTTTGGTGCTCTATTAAACAAAATAATAAACACATTGTCATGAGCGATCTTCATCTAGATAATTTGGAGCAAATTTGGCCGAAAATATTGCTGCTCAAAAAAAGGTTTAAAGTTTGGCTTTTTATATATTGGAAGGAAAGGTATGATAAACGTGAAACTTTGTGCATAATAACTTAGCACCACAAGGTTTTCAAATATAAAATTTCATTCTCCTACTGCTTTCCAATAGTTTACAAATTGAGTGTAAAGTTGATGTTTTTTTGTAAAAACACCAAAACTATGATATTTTCAGCCCACTTTTACAAAAAAAAATCCTCCTGGAAACTCTGTTAAATCATTCTCATTAGAAAGAGCATGTTTCAAACCCCCTAAAAAAGTAGGGTTGGTTTTTCATCACTGATGTATAAAGCCCTAAAAATAGGCACCAAGTTGAGGACATTGCTATGGCAACATCACATGTATTCTATTATTTTTTCATCTTGTTTGTTTTATATAAACATCATTACTACAATAATATTGCATTGGTCCATGGCACTTGAACCAGCAACCCCATCGCCATAGGGGGCACGCCCAATAGTTGTGTAACACCAGCCACGGGTGGGTTTCTTGGTTTCTTTTTCTTAATGGCATTAAGCCTGGAAATACTTCATGAGTCAAGGTGTAATGGAACTTATTTTTTATGGCCACATGAAGGCACCCTATGGATGGTTGACAACTATAAACTGCATCATATAATAATTTTTTTCCTTCAATGCTTTAAGGCTGAAAACCCCTGGATCTTCAACCTGTCTTATGTTCTCTAATGCTTTTAAAGGGTTTGGGGCCAGTATTGCAGGTCACTATACATAACTCTTCTGTCTGGAGGACCTAGAAGATTTCTTTTTATCTTTGGTATATATCGCCTTTCTATCAGAGGGTACACTGTGTATCTCTGAAAATAGCATTCAACATCTATTTAGATTAAGAAAATAACTTGATAAAGAGTGTTAAAACAGCCAGGAAGAGTTACACACTCTTCTGTACCTGTTAGTTTTTTTACCTACATAAGTGAAGCAGCAACTCTTAGGCCACACCTATATACCAGTAATATCCACAAGCAGTATAATAAAATGTTTTATCCCAATTGCTGATCTTTACAATGCCGCAGTAACAAGAAAGCGGCATGTTCTACCCTTATTGTTTCAATGCATGACAAATTAAAGAAAGTTATTGATAAATTCTCCCAGCTTCCCTTCCCACTATATAGCCCTGCAGTCAGGAAAACACAATCTTCAATTGTAGTCGCTAATGTAGGAATGAGTCAAAATAGGCAGTTGCTTAGAATGCCTGGTTTAGCAATCTGTAAAGTTACTTAACATGACACATAGAACTATATAGAAGAATAGGGTTGGAAAGGATCTTGGTAGTCTTCTAATGCAACCTCCTGCCTATAGCAGCAGATCCTAGATTAGGGGTTCCCAACTGGGGGTGCTCGCACCCCCTGGGGATATGAGATGATATTCCAGGGGTGCAAAAACTTGGGCTTTCAAAATCATAGTGTATATGCATAATTCATTGCCGTTATTTTGAACTATTGTAAGGGGTGTGAGACTATATCAGAAGCGTTCTAGGGGTGCAGGGTATAAGTTGGGAGCTGCTGTCCTAGATCATTCTGGATAAATGGCCGTCCAGTCTCTTTCTGAAAACCACCAGTGATGGAGCACTCACAACTTCTAGAGGCAAACTATTCCAGTGATTAATTATTCTCACTGTCAAGAAATTTCTCCTTAGTTCTAGATTGGAGCTCTATTTAATGATCTTCCACCCATTACTTCTTGTCCTGCCCTCAGGTGGAGAATAAGTTGATCCCCTCTTCTCTGTGACAACTCTTCAAGTATTGGAAGACAGTTATCCTATCACTCTTTATCTTCATTAGACTAGACATACCTAGTTTCTTCAATCATTCATTATATGGTTTAGCTTCCAGACCCCTTGTCATCTTTGCTACTCTTCTTTGCATTCTTTCTAGGGCAGTGATGGCGAACCTTTTAGAGACATGTGCTGGGGCAATGCCACGTGCCCACAGAGAGGACTCCGCGTGCCACTTCTGGCATGCGTGCCATAAGTTCGCCAACACTATTCTAGGGTCTCAACATCTTTTTTGTATGGTGGTGACCAGAATTGGATTTTCCCACTGTGGTCTCACTAGTGGCATTACTACTTTTTAATGTGATCTTGAAACTATCCATCTGTTGATGCAACCTAGGACTGCATTAGCTTTTTTGGTAACTGTAGCACACTGCTGGCTCATACATAAGTGATGATCTACTAGATATGCTGGTCTACTGTAATAAAGATTTGAATTGATTTGACAAACAAGATTTGACAAGAAATTTGAAAACCATTTGCGAGGCATTATACGGGTAGATGTCCAATCTTTCCATGATCAAATGGCATATCCTAATCCTGAGTTACCATATCATTGATGAAATGTGCTAAATTATATTGTATCAGGAGAAAAGAGAAAACAATTACTTTAAAACTAAAACAGATAAAGATGAGTTAAATTGATTCAGCTAGGGTTTGAGGATGAGATGAAGGCAATGTCATCAGGACATGGTATTTAAAACTGGAGCATGATCATGCTGTGGTTAGGGAGATATGAGATTAAGACCTCAGATTCAATTTTTCTTTCTAAACCAGGATAACATAATGTTAAGGTGACCAACTTTTTTACAATGAGAAGGAGGACACAAATAAATTGAAGAAAAAAAAGTGAGTCTAATGTATGTGTGTGTGCCGTGTCGTGTTTTGGTAAGAAGTAAACGAAGCCACTTACGTGCGGCACACTCTCTCAAAACAATTCTCCTGTGCGGAGCGCACATGTCTCATAATCACATCTCGCCGCACTGTACCGAGCCTTGACGAATCATCATGTCAAATACAAATATGGCACATCACAACGGATCGGATCGGCATCGATCGAATATGGAGATTTACAGATTAGTCTTCAAATAGGAGGACATGTAGGAGGACACTTTTCGAGAGAGGACAGAACTTACAAAAGAAGGACTGTCCTCCCTAAAGGAGGACGATTGGTCACCTTAATAATGTCAGTAAAGGACCAGTTGCTAAAATGCACATAAACGTGTCCACGAAATTACCAGAAGTTGAGCTGAATGGAAATAGAGATTATTATTTTACATTTAAAAAAACAGTGTGGATCTTTGCTATGCCCTTTCCAATTTACCTAGTTCTTTGTGATATGTTTTGCCTTGTCTTATTTTAGGAATATCATGTCTTCTCTTTAAAGAATTTCTGTCTGTTAACTTCTTCCCAGGAACTTTGCATATACCTTTCGGGTACTTTGCCAGAATGATACCTTGAAATAATGTTTGTTGAATCTATGGTTTAACATTTTCTAATTCACTGAAGCTGAGAGGCAAAAAGTACTAACTATAGCTTTCAAAATAATATATAACATTTCATACTTTTTAAGGAGCCTTTTCTTCTGCTTAGCAATGTCATTCATCATTCTGTTCACTGGAGGCAGCTTACTAGATCCTGGTAAGGAAAAAAGGAACAATATGGATGAGCTTTGACCACAACATTGTTGCTTTGAGTTTCTTTAGGAAAGATGGCCTGTTAGGCTCACACTCTGTGGCTAGTCACAATGTTAACTATGGTCATTAATAAGATGGTCACCTTATTAATCATGTCACAGATGATTAACCAAAATGTTCACAGCCTCTGTTTGCTTTGCTGCTGAGAACAAGTTTCTAAGTAATTTTTTTAGTGGCCTTCTGTCTGTCCTTCCATCCATCCATCTCAGCAAACTTCTGAATTTTACCCATATGCTACTGCATGTGAAATAAAAATTAATCAATTTCTCATTCAAATTGTTTCAAAACGAAGCACACAAGATATATATGTGAAAAACAATGCTGTGTTAATTGAAGGTTTTAACTAAGTGCTGTTTTTCTGTTATCTTGCACTAATTTGTAGGAGATTAAAAAACAGCAATATTAAACATCAACAATCCACTTAAGCTTTCTATATGGGTCCAATTCATGTGTATAGTATTGGTTAATACTTATGTTGGATTATATATTAGTCATAGCTCTTCTGTGCTACTAATTAATACCGATATCTTTTAAAGTCTCTTTGATTTGTAACAATAGTTTGAAACTCTCTCTCTCTGCTACAAATGAATCAGATGACTATCATCTTGTTTGTCTAGATCCTGATCTTTTTGTGAAATTTTCTTTATCAACTATTTTGCAAGCAGCTATATTACTTTAATTGGGGCAGCTCTGCAATTATCTGCCTCAGTATTGAATATCTGCATTTTAATACTTAATATTAAAAAGTTTTGTTACCGTGTTTCCCTGAAAGTAATACCTATCCTGAAAATAAGCCCTTACTTGATTTTTATGCATGTGTCTAATATAAGCCCTATCCCCAAAATAAGCCCTAGTTAGGAGGCTGTGCAGCTGGCTGCCCGCCCATTCCATCTGGTTGTTCATAGTGCTGCTGCCATGAGATGAGCCAAGGCAAGTGGGGGAGAGGGTGGAGCTGCCCTACGTGCCCCATACCCGTTTACCTCTGGGGCATCGCAGCCAGGTCTCCCACGCCCTGACATCTGCCTTGCCTCGCAATGGTGGCACCAACAATCCCGTCCAGCAGGAGCCTGCATGGCCACCACTGGCCCATTTCTTCTGTGGCAAATCCATTGTGCTGTTCTCGGTTGCAGAGGTCTTTTCCTGAAGACCTCTGCCAGTGAAATGGAGCCCGGAAGCAATGTGCACGTCAACCCAGGGCTCCATTCTTGGCGGCAGAGGTTTTTTGCAAAGATGGCGAATGTCTTTGCAAATGGAGGGAAGGCTTTGATGTTTCAGCCCTTACCTCCATTTGCAAAGCCTTTTGCTGTAAATCTCATCCAGGCCTCCATTTGCAGAGAACAGAGGCCTAAAGTACCTTGAGATCACGTGAGATCAGTAGTGAGAAGTGGGCCAGTGGCGGCCACATAGACTGCTGCTGGATGGGGTTGTTGGTGCTGCTGCCACGAGGCAAGACAGTGGAAAAAATAAGACATCCCCCCAAAAGAAGACCTAATGCATCTTTTGGAGCCAAAAAAATTTATAAGACCAGGTCTTATTTTCGAGGAAACATGGTATATGTTATTTTTGTTTCCTTTTGATGTATTCATCTCCTGTGAGATTGAGCCATCTTTCAAATTGGAAAGGTCTTAATTGTCTGGCAACTATTTCATTTTGCAGCAAAGCCAAGAAGTGAGATTATAGAAATTCAACTTTTACATTTTGACTATTAGTTGCCAGAAAGACAACACTGAGTGATGTGAGAGTCCCATCTTTCTTGCATATTAAAGTTAATGGAAAGATGTCTCCTTTCTAGATGCTACTTGGAAAATAGGCAACAACCCCAGAAATTTCCAAGCTACTATACCACAGCAGGATATGGAACCAGGTTATGAAGACCGAAAAGTTTTGGGCAGAAGAGGTTTATGATATCCAGTCTTCCACCCTGTGGTACTGAGCAATCACCATATCATATAATATAATACAATATAATACAATATCTAAATATTAGCAGAAAATGAGGGCTGGAGTTGTGAAAGATATGAGTCCCCAAAATTTGCAAGATCTCCCTAATTGTATTTTTATGGATCTTATAATAAAGAGGCCAGATGCTTAGCTGGCATTCTAGAAGCTAACATGCCATTTAATTACAATGTAGCATTGTAATGAGATTTCTATGATTTTTGGCTTCATAAAATTTAAAGCTCACGGGTACAGAAAAACCTGAAAATGTTTTAGTATTAAATTTAATATTAATATTAAATTGGAAAGCAACTTAAAGTTAAAATATACTGTTTATAGATTAGCCTTACCATTAAACACTCTTGTAACCCAGCGAGCCTGAAGTTCTACTGCTGGTAGAATAGATCCTGTTACTGATATAAAACCTATGAAGGCAAGTGTGGGCTTCTGCAAGTGAGGAGGGAATACTTGTTTATATAAGGATGTACTGCTTTTGCAAACATTGCGAACAGATTCTTCCAGGAAGAGAAATGAAGCAACATAGCCTGTAGTAAAAATGACCACATCTATATTTTCTTCTACAGTTCCATCTTCAAATATGGCGGAAGTCTCAGTAAACCTCTTTACGTTTGGCTTTATAATCACTGAACCACAGAGGATGCAGCTGGGCAGTTCATCATTTATAATGACGGATGTCAATGAACTGTTAAAAAGAACAAAAGTAAAAAGAAGCACTGTTAGTTCAATTATCCCCATTAGCCTAATCCCATTTTCAGTACTATCCTATTTTGCTTCTGAAAGACTTGCCTATTCATATTGATTCACATGGCACAGACAAAAAAAATGTCAGCACACCTTTTTACTTCCACCACCTCCCTTAACTGCTTGTCTGGATATTAAATACTTCTGAATGTTGGCTAGTTCTTCAATTGGTAGAATTAGATAGTAGATAGAAGACAGCAAAATATTGATCCTAGGCTGGCCTGTCATCAACTGCCATAGAAATTCCATTTCTTCCTCCTCCTATTTTTACCTCAGATGTTTCAGGATAGCTAGGCATAGATTATCCTCCAAATTAGATATGAGAAGTGACCCTAGTTAAGTGGTTGATTGACTGGCTAATCAGCAGATGGGCAATCTAGTTGTTAACAGATCAACCTGAATCAGCTTGGGTGATAGGTTTGGTACAGACGCCTATAGGTATAATCTCTTCTTTGTGAGGTCAGTTCTAAAATTTCTAAATTCATTTCTTTTAATCATCAGAGTGCAAATGATACCCTGCCTTTTGTAACAATTCAACGTTCTGTTCTTCAAAATAATTGTGTGTATCATAAGCAACATATTATCCAATATGGATTTGAGAATTCTCCAGGAACATAGTTCACAAAACACTTTGGAAAAAGGCTTAAGAATCAGCAAATAGTCTAGCTAGCGATTTTACAGTATATATTTCCATTGAGGAAGGGAAATTTGTTAAAAATGCACTGGGAAAAGAAAATTATTTGTTAACAAACCTCTGTCTTGCAAATAGCAAATTAGTTTTTACTTACTAGCAGACTTCATCTTTTGTAAGCTTAGCATTTTGGCAAATACAATATAATGCATAGTAAAAGAGATTACCTTTTAATGGGGATCAATCCATAATTTTTATGGTTAAACCATTGATTGAATTTCTTTGCCAATAACTTGTCCCTAATGCTGACAGGAAGAAATCTTTGAATGAAATTTAGAAATCGAGTTTGGAAGACCATATCATTAGGCCACCCAGTTTTTGACATGCGACTTAATACCCAGGTTCCATTTCTGGTGCTGAGAAAGACCTAAGAGGCAATAAAATAAAATAAAATAAAAATAAATAAATAAATGAAAAGAGCATTCTTAGGGACTCTCAGCTACTGATGAGTGGGCAGTGATCTAATCTATCAGTAAAAGGCAAAAAGGAGGTTAAATCCTTTGGTAAGATAGACAGCATTACTAATACATCCAAAACAAAAACATTAAAACAATATTCTATGGAGGTACATAATATGGAAGAGCAATACTGTATCAGGCTTACAACTAAGAATGTGAGAATAATATGACCTAATAATGCATAACCTATAAGAGGCTACAGAATATGGCAAGCTAAAAACTTTTGGCAATATTTTCAAGAAAGAATTAGAAAGCAATACAGGAGGGGCAATAATTCTGAAATACAGGTAGTTCTCGACTTACAACCACAATTGAGCCCAAAATATCTGTTATTAAGCAAGACAGTTCTTAAGTGAGTTTTGCCCCATTTTATAATTTTTTTCTTGCCACAGTTGTTAAATGAATCAACACTGTTGTTAAGTGAATCTGGCTTCTCCATTGATTTTGCTTGTCAGACATTGCAACCGTCATAAATATGAACCAGTTGCTAAGCATCCAAATTTTGATCACATGACCATGGGGATGCTGCAACGGTCGTAAGTGTGAAAAATGGTCATAAATCACTTTTGTAACTTTGAACAGTCACTAAATGAATGGCTGTAAGTTAAGGACTACCTGTACTCAAGGAGTATTTGATTGCACCATTATGATGGCTTAAAACAGAAACATTTTGGTGATATCTATCAACCATCTGGTCTTTTGTTAGGATTCTGTAGCCCAGAAATAATTTTCTGAACAAAATCTTTAGACCTATACTTGGAGGAAATAAAAAACAACTAAAGTAACACCATAAAAATAGATACCGTGTTTCTCCAAAAATAAGTCCTGGTCTTTTTTTTTTTTTGTCTCCAAAAGAGGCACCAGGTCTTATTTTTTGGGGGGGGGGGGGTGTCTTTTCCACTCACCTTGAAGCAGTGGCACTGACAGCTCTGCTGTCAGAACACATATTCTAATGGGGGCGCTTTTCTATCTTTAACTCATACTCTAGTCTTTCTATACTTCTGGGTTCTGCCATGCTCCTGGAGGGGAGGGGGGAAAAACACTGCGGGTTATTGCTTTGATTTCCTCTATCACTACACTGTGACACTTTGCTGTTTCTGCATACTTCCTCTGTGAACTATCTCTCCCCTTGATGTCAGCTAGAAAGAGGGGGGAGAAGAAAGGAAGGAGCCTCTGGCAACTGGTTTATCTCCGTGTTTGGAAGGGAAGGCAAGAAGAGCTGACAAAACATCACTGCAAACCTTGCTTTATTGGCCCATGTGAACTGACCAGATGAACGTTGGGGTGGGGTTTGCTTGGGACACTTTTAACCTATTGATCTGAGCAGGAAACCCTCAGATCCTGCCTACTATCAGCTTCTCCTAATAAAAGTTCCTTTTGGAAGAAATTGCTTCCACGAGTTCTGTTTCCTTAGGATGAGGTTTTGAAGTAGGTCCTGACATTAGACAGGATCTGCAGTAATAGTCAGCCTGGAAGGAAAGCCTTACCAGGGACTTAGCAAATCATGTCAGATAATGGAATAAAGAGAGAGGAACCGGCTACGGGGGGGGGGGGAATCCTCCCGCCAAGTAGACCTTTGCGAACAGTCCAGCTCCAGATCCTCAAGCTCCTCAGAAGAAGAGGTGGTGACAGAATGATGCCACAAGCCTAGGTGGTCGATTGGTATCGGAAAGAAGGATGACTGGGAGAAGAAAGCTAGAAAGGTGACACTCAGACGAGGCAATCATCAGCCGGGCTGGAAGGAGGAGATGGAAAGATCTCTCCATCTCAGCGAGGATGAGGAGGACCACCTGGGGCATTCCGGCCGGCTGCTGGAACAGGCAATCGGCATGATGAAGATAGCCCTCTATGAAGGGGAGAAAGCCGAACCCTACCAAGGCACCATCTGTCTGGGGTGCAGCAAGAGAGGGGAGTCTGAACCCAAGGTTCCAGATCCATCCAAAGGAACTGTAGAACCCGCCATAGTCACCGCTGCTGCAGCCACTCCTTGTTGCGTGGAAGCAGCAGGCAGAGAGGGAAGACAACACAAGGAGAAAAAAAGGCAATGCTCCATCCAGAAGTTTCCTCCACTGGATGTGAAGTTCCATGGGGAGCCGCGGTGCCTGGGATTCTTCCTAACCCAGGTGCTAAACTACATGGAGGAGTACATCCAGGACATCCCCACCAATCGTGCCAGAATTCGCATCGTGCAAGCCGCCCTAGACGGCATCGCAGCAGATTGAGTTATAGATCTCCAAGATTCTGATGGCCTGGAGCTACTGAACTTCAACCAATTCATGTTCTCCCTCAGGCGCAGATTTGAAGACCCATTGGCCGACCGGAAAGCCCAAGAGTGGATAAAGACAGTGAAGCAAGATAGACGGCCAGTGCCAGAATACACCCAAGAGTTTCAAACCCTGGCCAGAAAACTGAACTGGCCAGAGAACATCTTACTTAGCCACTTCAAAGATGGCTTAAACTACGACCTCTATGATGCCTACCTCCCTCATGGGGACCCTCATCCACTGCAAGATTGGGACGTCTTAGCTGAGGAAGCCAAGATCAACTTAGCTAAGAAGCAACGCAAAGGAAAGGGACCGTGGGGGGAATTGCTGCCGAAGCCAACCTGCGAGCCAGCAAAGCAGTCATCAACCCCGAAAGAACCACTGGGTGTTTCAAGTGAGTCTGCGCAGCTGCCAAGTAGAATGGCTGTACCGAGATGGCGCTCTCGATAAGAGTGCCTCTTTTACAGCCATTTCCCATTGCCTGGCAGGCTTTTTGAAATCCTAGATCCCTCGGAGGGGGATTGGAAGGAAGAGGAATCCTGTGGAGCAGTCCTAGACAGCGGTCGGGTCCGATAGAAGCAGGGAAGCCTTGGAGAAGCCGGACTGGGGAAGGAGACAGCCCAGCATGGTGGCCGTGAAGAAATGACAGCAGCCAGCTGTGCAGAAAGCAACGGAGAACTAGCGAAGTGACGGTGTGATGGTCTGGTGGTGTGTATATCCAATGACCCCGTGTGAGTGATCTGGGAAGGGAGAACTGCCCTGGAGGATTTCCAAAGAGGGAGAAGAGAAAAGGAACCCCAGAAAGAAAAGGTTGGAACTTTTCCCCCCATGGATTAGCGGCGATAGAAAAGTTGGGGCAAATGAGGCTTTTACCTTAACTAGCTAGACTTCGTGGGCTGAAAAGGATAAAATCTAAGAGTAACCCTTCTTCTTTTTCGTGAGAAGCAAGTAAGAATTCAGAACAAAAACTGAGTGATAAAAAGTGCCAATGAAGTAGAGAAAGCTGACATTTTGAACTAGTGTTGAAGGCTGCACAGCATTGAAAGGGAGAAGGGAGACATCTACTGGCCAAGAAGAAAATAGACATAGAGATAAAATAAAAGAAAAACTGTGCCAGAGAGAAAGAAAATTGGTGACTAAAATTAAGGAGAGACCTTTTATATTCGTATACCCTGTTGAATACATCTATAAATATAATTGTTAAATTGTATATTGTACTGCCAATGAACTCATAATATTAATTACTATTTATAAGATAATTAATTACTGTGAATTAATAGTGTGATTGTTATACATCTTATAACATTTTAGCACCATTTAAGATATAAAATATAAAATATTACTTTACTATAAAGGCAATTTCGGACAGAGGAGGCATGAATTAGGCAAATTATCCTCTCAGGTGTGCTGGAAAGAAAAACAAGGATTGTATATAAGTGGGAGGGCTGGTTCACAATATTCCAAAAAATGACAAGTATTCCCAACTTAACAAGAGTTGGGATAGGAAAGAAGCAAATTACTCAAATGACATCACTTGAACTGAGCCCTGCGGGGCAAAGATCAATAGAAGAGATGATGCAGCGAGAAAAAAGCGAGCTCATTTAAGGAATTGCAATTGATGTTACAATCTATGCAGGAAGTAATGTTAAGAAACCATGAAGACTTGAAAAAAGAAATAGGAGAAATAAGGTGTGACACTGAAGAACTCAAAGAAAAGATTGGGGCAATGGATGCGAAATTTGAATGCTTTCAACAACGATCTTAAAAAATGAACAGAAATTACTAGAGATGGAAGAAAGAATGAATAAGGAGGAGAAAAGGGTAGATGAAACGAATGAAAAACTTTTACAAGTTAATAAAGAATTAGAACAAACAGTCATTTCACTTGAAACAGAGAAAGCAGACCACTATCTACATTTCCAAAATGTGAGAGAAGAGAAAGGGGAAGACCTCCCAGAAATGATGGCAAATTTGCTAGCGGAAACCCTAGGAAGTAGGAGGGAAAAAATGGTGAATGAGATGGATGAAATATATAGGATCCATACTAATTACGCTAGAAGACACAATCTGCCTAAAGAAGTTCATATTAGATTTGTCAAAAAATCAGTTAGAGATGAAATTTTATACAGAACTAGAGATGATCCGTTAGAATTTAGAGGAAAACAACTAGTTGTTCTTAAACAAACTCTTAGAAGGGTAAGAGATTTAAAAAGGCCGTATCAACACATAACATCTAAACTAACGAGACAAAATATTAACTTCAGGTGGCTGACGCCAGAAGGCATTATGGTGACATGGCAAGAAAAAAGATACAGGTTAGTTACAATAGATAAGGCAGAAGAATTCTTTAGGCAATATTTTTGTAGTGAAGAAGAGTTAGAAATAAAAGAACCGAGAAGAGAAGGTGCTATAGGAGAACAGGTGATAGAAACAAGGGAATAGTATAGAAAAGGAAACCAGGAGAGGGAAAAAAGCAGAAAATGGAAATGGCGATGTGGGTAGACTTAAAGAATCTAAAGAGAGCAAACCAACAAGGACGACTAGATCGAAATACAAGCAGTGATATGGAAGAAATAGCAATTTTATCTTTAAATGTTAATAGCTTAAACTCCCCTGTAAAGAGGAACAAAATTTTCAATAAGCTT